GGAAATAGAGAAAAGCTCCGGGACATCCCAATTTCTTTTCGAAGAATTACATTTACGTATAACACCCCGGAAACCCATACCACGAACAGAACACGTTACTTGAAAACACTGATTTAAAAAAAATGTTGGAAACAAAATTTAAAATGTCTTAAAACAAGAATGAGTGTGTTGAATTATGAATTTCTGGTCCAACCAACAAGAATGGAAGGAAAAAACTCTTATTGCGTTGTAAAATGTGTCATAAAATGTGTCATAAACGAACAATGCAATCGTTGGAGTCTATCTTTTTGCAGAGCTATTAAAATGCGTGAACTCGCATGGAAATCGCCACCCACTAACGCAGAGTTTTAAAATAGAATAATGCCTGGTAGCGACTTTCGGTGAGGTGAACATCGGCATTTGTTGACGCTTTCCCATTAAAATACAATATATCATTCTAGGCCACAAACGGTCATATTTATTTGTGAACGTGGACGTGGTGGACGACAGGGAGCCCGCACAATCTGTTTGTGTAGCTTATTGTTATTGTATGGTAAATGTTCTGGATTTACCGTTTGCCTCACCTATAGCGATATGTCGCTAACTATGTATATAAATCAATGATAAATAAACGTTGAATTACCTTACCTGTATAGTCGTCCTTTTACCTCAAAAGCGGTTTTTTGAGCGATTTTGAAGGAGTTTGAATTCGCCGTTGACTATTCCTTCTATTATAAGGAACAGTCAACGGCGAAATCCAACCCCGGGGGTATTGCCATATATGGGCTATATAGGTATGTGCCGCTGTGAAGGGTATGTTTCAAGCAGTTTACTCTAGTATAGGGTATATAAATCAGAGCGTTTAGGTCTAGAATAGGGTATCATTTTTCAGGAAACTGATCAATTTGTTGAAGATTTTATCTAGACCAGGGAAACTGCTACTCTAGGATAGGAGGGATTTGGGGTAGCAAATTTTAGCTGAACTAGCTCTAGTATAGGTTAAGAGTTCCAGGGTCCCAGCGGCACATCCCCACCCAGAAATTCCTTAAGTACCCCCCCCCCCGGAATCCAACTCCTTCAAAATCGCTCAAAAAACCGCTTTTGAGGTAAAGCGACGTCTATATACCACAGGTAAGGTAATTATCGTCCCAGTGCCGCCGTCAACTGCGCCGACAAGTGTTGGTTTTGCGTTCCTTTTGTGTTTCAGGGTGTTTCAAATTTCTGCAGTGATACACTTTTTAAGCTGCAGAACATAACGTGGGTGATTAAAGGAGTTTATTATTGCGGCGCGACTCGGGCGATAGCATCAACCATCTAAATTCCCCGACTACGCCCCCTAACACAAATAAAACACAATTCGCTTTTTGGCACGGAGAGAAGTTTATCAAGGATACGAACAAAAAGTAAACAACAGCCAACGATATGCCTAGTAAACCTCTCTGCCACCCTATATCATCAAATAACATCACCCAGGGTGGGTGGGTGGGAAAAAGAAGCGAAATAATACGATGCAAAACTCTGGTATACGCTCCAGGAAAAGACTGACTCGAAATGAAACACGAAACTACTATCACCTGATACTAAAGGGTGTGTGTTGCGCAATTAATCCCTTTGAACACGTGCTTGTCCAAAGGGGGCAAATTATCACTCTAGCTACGCACCTACGTACCTAGGTCACGATTTCCAGTGTCGGTGATTATCGATGACTTGTATTTTAAAATTTCATGGCGAGTCTCTATTTCATTGAAAGCACGACAATTCGGTCGCATACAGTGGGATAGCTTAAAATCAAGAATCGGTGAAATATCCATATTCAAACTACCCCACTGAACAGCCAAGCAAGGCAGAGAAGAGGCAGACTTGACTGAAATATAAGCCGAAGCAGGGGCACCCAACGACGGTTTCCTCCTAAATGCATTGAAAACACTTTTTCGCTTATCCAGAGTACTTTCAAATCTCTAGAAATGCATTCTAAGCGGCGCTATAAAAGTTGTATCTGTTCGGTCGTCCTAGGGCAACTTGAATCTTTTCGAAATCACTTAGGGCCTCAGTATTATTTTCCCGAAAATTTTAGATGCAATTTTAGGTTTTACGAAAGTGAGAATTTTTCTGATTCCTCTCTCCATCGCATTTTCTAATCCGAAAATTTTAGATTTCCTTTTTCTACGAAAAATAGGCTAAGTCGGGGACTGAAATGCGAAAAACTAAACTTTAGAAAATCGTAGGGAATTAATTAGATAAGCTACGAAAACTGTACATGAATGGAACGGCCATCTAGAAATTTTTAGCCTTCCTCAAGTAACAGAAAATTGTAGGCAATTTTTGCTTCTCCGAACAGATATTTTACAGAAAACAGTCGTTCGGTGCCCCTGCCTAAGCTCTATGACATTTTTTTTAGGCACAACCTGTCTACCTTCACAGGAAGGGAGAAGGTTCTTTACTTTTAAGCGAATTCGAATGTCCACGTACTATTTTAATTAAACAACAACAACAACAACAACATCACATTTTCTTTATGGATGTCCCGGAGCTTTTCTCTATTCCACTCCCCCACCCAACAACTAGAAGATGTTCACGCGCCATTTGTTTTTTAAATTTTTCTTATTTGTTTTAATGACATTGATTGCATCGATTATTACCTTTTCCAAAAAAAATATTTTGGAAAAAAAAATGTTACCCTCGACCCTCGACATGGTACCCTCGCCCTCGACATGGAACCCTCGACCCTCGACCCTCGACAAAAAGATAGACTCCTCTCTGGCTGGCACTATCAAAACAAATCAAAATTATTTGATTATTTTCACCCCACCTCTCCATACTGAAATTGTGGTCCAATTTTATCCTTGGTCTAAATTTTATTTTCTCATTATCATACATTACCATACCCAAAAACCCACCTACCTTGGCACGAACCAACCTCGGTTGTTGATTCTGGAGACTCTCTATTTTTAACTTCCCCTCTCTCCCCAACTGTCAACAGCCCCAGTAACCCCACTACCGGTCGGAGAAATAAATCAAGTAAACAAGATTCTCTCGTTGCTTTGTGCTGCTCACTAGAGTTCATTTTGAAAAAATTGAAAAAAAATGAAAAAAAAAAGTTAAAAACTTTGAAGAGGAAGCTAGGCTAACTTAACAAGATATGCTTTGTTCTTCGTTCATGGACGAAATTACAGAAACTTGTCAGTGACAAGTTCTGTTCAATTTCTACATTACAGATGTACCACAGCAATTAAACTCAACTGATTGTGGTGTCTTTGTCTGTATGGTAGGTTTTGCTATTTCATCACCTTTGCAATGAAGATTATTGAATGGAAAGTTATTCATTATGCAATTCCATCAAAATAAATATGAACTTTTAAGTATTATCCTTCAAAACAATTTTCATACATCACCACTGTTACTGATTAGTTTCCAGAGTACCTCAGCAGGGGGATTAAATGCCCAACTATAAACAGGTATTGAAACAGTTTTAACTGTTTTAAAAACGTTCAGACACTGTTGATGAAAAGAAGTTAGTTTCACAGTACTCTAGCCCCTTTGAAATACAAGTCTATTTTTACTCTAAGACCTTGGATATTAATTAATACTCTTTTGTCTCTACTCTTTTATCTTTTCAAGATTTCCAAAACACGATCAAGCAACAGCTGTTGCAAACGTTTTTGTAATAAACTTTAAGTACCAGGGGCAGATCCACGATTTTTGAATGGTGGGTTGATGATACCAATCGGCCATCAAACTATACGTTATTAATTTTAAGTTGTTGCACTTTTGTCCCAAAGCATGCCGATTTAGGAAGGACGATGGTTGGTTGGCTTCACAAGGTTTTTGCCTCCCACTTATTTCCATTTGTTTCCCCAAGTATTATATTTTTTGGTAGACTGTTCTAAAACAGGGTGGCTAGCCACTCAATCCACTCCTCCTAAATCCAAACACTGACACATGTACTACCAATTCTTGTTGATGAGTGGAGAAAATAAAGCTTGAAAGCATGCAACTCCAAACTCATCGTGCTCCTTAATAATTAAGTAACACAAGAAATCTAACGAGGAAATTATTTTATCTCAGGTAATTTTTGTTTTCCATTTGTTTCAACGTCATTAGTATTCATTACCATACGCCAAAACAAAAGAAAAACAAAAATTACCTGAGATAAAAAACTAACTTTTAAAACACTTTCAAATGAGATAAACCATGAAAAATTAAAAACAAGCTTGCTGAGCTAATTAAGAACGTCCTGCTGGGCGGTACTATTTTCTTAGCTTATACCATTCAAAAGGGCTAGACAATTTTCAAGAATAAAAACCACTCCTGTTTGGTTATCCTTGGATTTCAAATGTCAAACCAGAAAAAGGGTTTTGCACTTCCCCATCACTGTTATACCTGAGTACTCCCTATAAGGAGTGTCCCCCTGGGTGGACATTCTTAGGTGATTACAACAACAAGGTATGAATTAAACTATATTTGTTCAACTGTCCCCCGGCTGGTAGGAAAAAGCCTTCAGAGGGCAAGGTTTGTACTACAATGTAACAATAACAAGCTGCATGTCATGTAGTAATACATGCAAGCAACTGCTGACATAGTTTAGGATGTCCTGCTAGGCGGTACTATTTCCTTAAAGGGGAACTCCGGGAGAAAAATGACCTTTTTCTTAATGATTTGCCTACATTTGTTGTTTCAATTTTTGACTACTAAGTTAAGTGATTGTTCGTTACAACTAAGATATTTCACCCTAAAGCGGAGTCAAAAAATGCAAATAGCATTCCGCCATCTTGAAAATTGTTTGCCTGCTCAGAAATGGGTCAGCGTTTTCATTTATGACGTCAGAACGTCAAGCGTAATCCGATATTTACTCGGCTTCCAGTTGTGTACAACATTTTGCATCGTCTGCATTGGGAGTTTTCTTACCTTTATCACTCTTATAATGTCGAATTCTGGGTCAGAATCCGAGTTGTCCGACGAAGAACAAGGAGCTCAAACGTTTTCTATCCAGCCGTATCAGTTTGAACCGCGGGTAAACACGGATGAGAAGGATATCAACGCTGAAAGCCCGGGCTGAAAGTCTTTCTGGCGACGAGTCCATGGAAGGCAGCGAAGAATTGAATCCAAGACTGGAAAATTCCGACTGGTATGTGCTGTGCTGTTTGCTTCATTGTAATTCTTTTACCGATGTGCGAAATAAACTGTTGTTTGGCCCAGGTGTCGTGTTCGTAATTGTTTCTTTTTTGTTTTGTTTCGTTTTGAGAGTCTTGAGTACGTAATGCATCAGTCAATTCCACCTGCGCCCAGCCCCCCCCCCGGGCAACTGCGGGGCATTTGCCCACCCTGTCAGTCCCGGGGGTGGGGCATTTGCAAATGTTGCACTGCCCGGGGGCCGAGCATTTGCCAACCCCCGGGCCAATCCCGAGCTTTTGACACGCACGCAGTTTCCGATCAGAATATAACTACAAAGAAGGTTTTACTGGAAGAAAAGCAGATTGGCTCATTTGTCAAGGACAGGAACAAATTGTAGAGGGTTGCAACGGCATGTTCTCGATTTTACATGTATGTATGCATTTTTTCATTGCTTATCAAGCCAGAATTACGTAGCGAAATTGGAGCTATCGAAGTGAATCAACGTTTTTTAGTTATTGAATCAAATTTCTGTTGATATTATTCGAAGAACATCCTTTCATATTTATAAAACTATTCATAACATATAACTTTACAGCGCTCTTTTAATTTTAATGTCAATAATTTTATACCAATACTAAAACCATAAACTGGTGCATGTCGTCGCGGCGCAAAGTCTTAATTAGAATCCTCGCGCTATTACAAAAAAAACGTTAATTAAACCAAAAAATCGCACATTAAAATGCTTAAAACGGCACTATTTGACCGTGCGATCAATAAAAAATGTTGCAGTGTTGACGGAGGACGGGGCATTTGCCCTCTTTTTTCGTCCCCACCCCGGGGGATTTGACAGCTCAAGAGTCCCCACCCCCGGGAATTTGCCATCCAAAGCAAAAAAAATGCTAATGCCCGGGAGTCAGCCCGGGGGGGGGGCTGGGCACAGGTGGAATTGACTGATGCATAAACATTTCATTATCGAGCGGCCGACAAATTGCTTAGTGTTCCTAGTTTTCAATATGTCTTGCGAGTTAGGTGCTGTGAACGTGAAAGCTGCTAAAAACCTAACATAAATTCCCTCCTCCTCCCGCAGCTGGACTTTTCAAGTAGAAGGGAAGGATTTTGAACAATTTTCTTGGCGCTTCGCTTTCTTTTATATAAGCTAACACTAGCACGGGTGCAAACAAAAAGAATTGTAGTTTTGTAAATGTTGATCTTCACTACACATAGGTTCTTTAAGTCAACAGGCGGCCGTTGGTCCCGCCTAACCTATTTCAGGAAAGAATTTTATTTACATGTTTAACTATCTAAATTTGCCAGTGTCCTCACTTTCTTTACTAGCTTGTATAAACAGTTTTCTTCAACTCAAACAAAAGTAATCTGCTTCAACATATTTTATCTACATATCACACAAAAAGTTAGTAACATCTAAATCTTACGAAACCTTACATTGTTGTCTTAAATCAGCTCTCAATTGCTGGTGTTTATCCAGCTTCTTAACCTGTACCTCATGTTAAATGTAGAACAATTCAGTTTTTGTTTCCCATCTATGATTTAGGTGCTCAAGTGATAATTGCCAGATTATGGGGAGAGCGGAGGCATGCATATGCTGCCAAGAAATAGAGCAGGTTAAAAATAAGCTTAATGAAGCAGTTACTAGTGGTGAATGTGAGGAAGAGCCAACATGCATCACGCAGCATCCAGGGTTCCATCCAGTGTGTATAAATAGATGGGTCCTGCAGACTGCATGGTATCAATATAAGCAACAATACAAAGACTCTTTTGATGGTCCTGAAGACAAACTCTACAGGCACATAGCATACAGACAATTGGCCCGATGGTGCTGGGGAATCCTAGGCAAGGAAATTAGGGTTGTGCTTCCTTCATGTGCTGTAATGTGTATTAGGAACTTCTATCCTCCACCTGGGCCTGAGGAGGAGTTTGTCTTTACAGGGTTTAAATATGCAGACGAGTGACATGACTTAAAACTGACATCAGGCTGCCAGTGTAAATGAGAAACTGTAAGCCACTTATGATGCATAATATACAGCTATAAAGAGGATATTACAAATAATTTGCTTACATTTTGTGAGCTGAATTTTTAAGCCTTTAGGTTTTTGTATTCTCATTTTACACTATGATATGTTGAAAAGTCCTATACACATGCATCCATGTACATATGTCTACACAGGTTATGAAAATGCAAATCCCCTTGAGAAAATAAAAAACATGGTGTGAATTAGGAAAACAAAACATGCTAGCTAAAAAGGTCTATTCCTCATTATTTGCAGTCAAAAAACCTCACAAGTGGTGAACTGTTCTTGTAATGTGGGTTTCAGTTTTTTACACGTAATTGGAATAAAAAGACATGGTGATTTGAGTTTCGTATTGTCAAGTTTGGAAAAAATTTCAGTGTTACTCTGATCGACGGTTACAAATAGGAAACCTCCAGGAAATGTGTCAAAGGCTCACTATTGTTAAGTCATCTATTAAATCTTGAACGATGTTGGCGTATTGTATCTGATTTACTAGGTGCTGGTTCTGAGGCTTGGTAGGTGTGGATGAAGTGGCTGTGCAGCTGCATTCCCCAGCTCAACACGACTGAGCACCTCTGAAAGTAGGTCTGACAAGAACTGATATGACTTCTTCTCATTAATTGGTTTGACAACCCATCTTTTATTTGCTTTTGGGAAGCAAAGCTTGTATCGTGCCTCACCTGCCCGTTCACCTGACTTTATCACAGCTTGACTACGGCCAGTGTTAGCATTGTTGTCTAGAGCGGCTAGCTGGGTCCTAGCTACCATGCCCTGGTAAGAATAATGCTCGCTTTTGGAGGCATACTTCAGCATCATTGAATGGTACACCTCAATTTTACCAGTGTGACAGAAGTCAGTTAGTTTAGCCAGATCTTTAAGAAGCTTTTTATTCAGTACACTTCCTCTAAAGCTATGTGAGCTTGTGGGCCTGGCTTGCTTAGCTTCCGAGGAAGAGATACGTCGGTGGCAACACTGATGGAAAAGCGTGTTGCCTGACCACTTGTGCTTGTTTGCTACATGATCTAAAACACACTTTCACTTTTCACGCAGAAGCTACACACTCCCATCGCAGGTTGCCGCGCACCACCAAAGGTGATTGGAAATGGATTGTATCCATGGGGCCAGTTCCTCACAACCCTTTTGTTTGGCTTTGTTTGCTAGTTTTTTGACCACCCACTTGGAGAGATGCCAAACATCATACTGGTGGTTGATGTGTGGGAAGTCCTTCTTCATGCTGCTGCTGATGGAAACATGGCGGTCTGTAGCAATCCTGTTAATCATGATCCCCTTTTCCTCCAAGTCTTGGAGGCAGCGAGAAAAGCCCTGTTTCTCCATGGAATTTGATGAGCTGACTTCTGAGACCTGGACAACATTGAATGCAACCACATCTCCAGAGTCCTCATCCATTAAAGTGTAGGTGCCATATTTGGCACTGTGGCCAGGGCTGTCACATCTGCCATCACCATCGAGATTTACAACTTCCTTGGAAGTCAGTCTGTCTACCTGCCGTTGGCTCTCTGCTTCCCATGCCTCATTCACCACAGGGAACAGGTATTTACGCTGGGTGTCATAAAAGACACTTTCGCTGAAAAATTGCAGGTTAAAACATGATGCCAGACGACTTATGGCAGCAGTTATTACCTGTAAAAAGAATGAATGCTGCCAGTAATAAATTTCCTCGAGGTTTCCTTTTTACCACAGGTTGTGACTCCCATGTCATTTTACACCCACTCTGGCACACAAGCTCTACAGATAACATGCTTCCAACAGTTTTCTTCTTCTGTTCAGTGACAACGGATCACCGCATTCCCGGCATCTTTTAAATAAATTATTTAGATTTGAATTAAAGACTACAATTTTTTTTTCATTACCGGGATTTTCAGGGAACTCATCTTCTGATTCATCATCATCATCATCATCATCTTCATCAGCATCGCCATAGTGTTTTCCTTTAGGGAGAAATTTCCAGTGAGGATCTAGGTCCTCATCATCAACTTCATCATCTGTGTCACTGACATGACCATCAACGTTGTCATCATCATTTTCCACCCTTGGGTCTTCTTTGTACAATTGAGTGAAAGGGGTGGTGCTAAAAAAGTTATCATCATAAGTAGGAAACACTGAACTGTGACATGCTGGCAAAGAATAAGTGTGATCCTTCAAAACCTTCCATTGTACAGCATCTACATATGGTGGGACATACATGTAGGGCTCGTTTTGTATAGGGGTGGGGGTAACATTAGCTTTGCCCTTTTTTTGTTTGGAATCCTCAGTTTGAACTGCTACACTTCTTAAGGTAACAGGCTGACAGCAACACTGAATGCCAATGTCATGCACTCTTGGTTCTGAGGAGCCTATTTCCTCATTATTATCAATCTGGTCTTGATCTGAAGAGTCTTCCAAGACATCCTCTGAAGAAGAGCTTGACTCATCGTCGCAGTCTGGGAAGTCAGCAGCTAAAAGTTCTTCCACAGCCTGATGGGATAAAGTTCAATACTTAACAGTATTTTCTACAAATATTTTTGGAATGTTCAATTGTTTGTTTTTATCGTAATGTCGAAATAATGAAAGTGAAATTACAGACTTGACATACAAAACTGAGGGCAAGGGTGTATTGAAGGATCTAACTTGAGGTAAGCACTAGGGAAAAGGAGAGAAAAAAACAGTTCTTATTAACATCTGTAACAGGCGGCGATTTTTAGTACACGTTGTATCTGCTACGTGGCACAGTCGACTGGATAAAAGTCTCTTGATGTGAGGTGACATTCAATTTCCCATAAGGTCATACAAGTTTTGAATTTTTTTTACAAGCTTAGCTTTAGCAGCTTGATAGGATTGGAGTCCTAAAAATTTAAACCTATTTCACTCTGGTTTAGGTGTACAAACTCTCTTTTTACTTGCAAATGCCGTTGAATTAATTCTGCCTTATAGTGTTTTAAACCGAACTTGTCAGTTTCTCACTGAGTTCTAGATATGCTAGAGGCAAAACAGGAGCGTGAACTCTCCAGAGGTCATCTAATTCGAACTGGACTGCAACCTCGTAGCGTCCGCCAAGCAGGCAAATCGAACAAAACAAGATTTTTGTAAAATAAAACAGGATGATAAAAATATGCATGAGTGACAGTACTAACCTGTTTATGGTTTTGTTTCTGAAGGCGACTTTCAGATGACAATCGCGCTTTTTTGGGTGCCGGACCATATTTAAACAGAGACGGTATAGCGTCATCCCTTAAATGTTTTCGAACCTTTTCGCCCATTAGTTGTGCACGGAAATCGATCTCAAAACAGCTGGGCAAGAAGTGTTCGCTGTAAACATGGCTGTTTTCCAGGGGTGATATATCTACACGTCTTACCCGGTCGAGCCATGCCTTCGTTCTATGGTCTTGCGGGAACTTGTGGTAACTCACGGCTTCTCCCGTCTTTTCTGAGTAATTGTGGCAGTCAGGCACAACGCAGCTGACCATTTTCTCCTTTGCTTAATACAAACGGTCAAAAAAGGTTGAATTGGAAGCCACGGGCACAATGCAAAGGGACGAAATAGAAAGACGTTCTGCCCTCGTAGTTCTAATATACGAATCTCCCGCGAACCCTCCGCCAACCAACCGCGAACCATTGACGTTCTTACTTCACAACGCACTGCTGACCATTGTAACGCGGCTCGTATTCTTCCCAAGATGGCGGAATACTAGGACGGCTTTTCGGCCAGCTTTTAAGTAAAAGATTTACTTAGCGGTAGGAGTACGGTAAGAAAGTTTATTAAAAACTGAAAGTTTAGATATAGGACTACTATTCTAAATAAGTTCGTTTTTATCCCGGAGTTCCCCTTTAAATGATACAAGCCAAAAGGACAAGGCATTTTTTACGATAAAAAAACACTCCTGTTTAGTTACCCGGGCCTTTTGGAAACCTAAAGAATGACCGTTTATAAAAAACCCAGATATGATATACCTCCTAACAAATGTTGCTAAAACTCAGGATGTCCCGCTGGACGGTACCATTTTCTCCGGTAATACGGGTAAAAAGGACAGGGCCACTTTTATGAATAAGAATATTCCTATACAGTAATCCTCAGCTTTCCCGATCTAATCTCCAAGCAAGCGAGACTGAACGCCCCTGTAAGCACGTTCTTGTCTCTTACCAAATCATGGCACGAGGTTAAGGTCTCTAAATAAAGGCCCCGAGGGGGTGTCTCATTTTTTGTCTAGGTTTACTCTGGCGCATCGTTTCTGTAAATTGATTACGCCTTGGACGTGCGGCTTCGGTGTGCTTCACGTCCCCCAACACAATAACCCCGTTGTCAAGTATTCAGGGGCACCCAACGACGGTTTCCTCCTAAACGCATTGAAAAGTCTTTTTATGCTATCCAGAGTACTTTTAGATCTCTAGAAATGTATTCTAAGCAGCGCTATAAAATTTGCATCTGTTCGGTCATCCTAGGGGAACTTGAGGCTTTTCGAAATTACAAGGGCTTCACTGTTATTTTTCCGAAAATTTTAGATGCAGTTGAACGTTTTACGAAAGTGAGAATTTTTCTTGTTCTTCTTTCCATCTCATTTTTGAATACGAAAATTTTAGGTTTCCTTTTTCTACGAAAATTAGCCTAACATAAGTAAAAGATGCATGAAAAATTACACTTCAGAAAATGGTAGGGAATTTTTTAGATAAGCTTCGAAAATTGTACCCTGAATGAAAAGCTCTTCTAGAAAATTTTAGCCGTATTCAAGCAATAGAATGTTCTAGGCAATATTTGCTTCTCCGAACAGATATTTTACAGAAACAGTCGTTGGATGCCCTTGAGTATTAGCTGGATAAGTGAGTTGTAAAACAAACCTCTCAGCTTTCAGTCACAGAAATGTATTTGTTCTTTTCAAAAGGCGAAGTCGCTTTCTTAGATTCGATACCGTTGTTTAAAAACAGTTGTCCATCTTTATGCCAGGTAGTTTAGTATCGGCTACAGAATCAAGCTGAACCTCAACTGTTCTCACATTAAGATTTCTGCCGTTCAAGCAGTTCGCCCAAACGTATGCTGTAGACAATTACTTGCAGCCGAAAGAATCATCAGTAAGGGCAAACGCAAACGTAACTTACATATGAGCTTCTGGGAACGAAAACTCAGACTTACCCTATGTGGAAGACGAGCTCAGAGCACTAGCCTAATCACCAATTAACCGACTGCTGCTTCAGCCGCGAACACTGAGATACACTTTAGAAAATAGAAGTAGTTGATTATGTAACTGAAAAGGAAGCAGCGTACTTACCACGGAAACTGCGAGGTACTGTTTTCTGTGACGCAACCAGCAGTCAAATGAAAGTTATACTGCTTGTTAGCTCTAATTTCTGTACGAGTAATAGAACCGTGAAATCTCGACATTTTGACACTTTTCCAATCATGAGGTAATGAACCGTTCACCCGCTAGATCATTCTTTCTGACGACATTTGCATGAAAAAAAGATCTTTGATCCTAGCGCACTTGTAAAACGGATTAAAGATATGAAGGCAGTCTTTGCCAAATCACTGATATCGTATCAGAGGATTATAGTTTTTGTTTGATTTAGTCAAAAGTAAATCAACTGCGGTAAACTGAAAATACAGTCTAGTTCAGAACATCAGGTTAAACTTTCAAAGCTATTCCTGGCGTTGCGGTTAGCATTGGTCACCCAGTGAAGGCCATTACATAATGGAGACCGCAAGAAAAGGATGGGCGGTTTTGAGTATTTTTAGAGTCGGGGGTATTCATTTTTAGAGCCTGTTAATGTCACTGTTCCGCTTAAGATATGCATGAAAAGGTAACACAACTAAATAACGCACGCAGACAAATAAGAAAATTACTACAAGATGGCGTAATAAGGGGGGGACACAGCCCTGTGGCAGGTTCTAGCGACTTCAGGTTATGCGCACAGCCCAAACACAAGCCTCACTTATCGCTCCACTACCGTGGGGTAGGACAAGAGTATTGGCAGAGCCTTTCTTATCTCCCCAGCGCCGCACCGGCTGGATCGGACAAGATTAAGGCAAATGAATAAGATGGCAAGACACAAGCAATGCCAAAAGCTTGGGGGAAGTCGCAACGCAGACTCAACCCCACCACAAGGAGTGACCCCCAAACTTTATTGATACCTAGCACAACAGAACTTCTCCATGGGGAGGGAGGGTGTTTGCTTTCGTGCAAGCTAGACGAATAATGATCAGGTCTGAAATAACAGAACCTTATAGCTAGACAGTGTCTCAAATCTCGACCAATGAATACAGTTGTACCATATGCTACCTAGTCTTATCATGATTAAAGTCTAGCCATGAATAGGGCCTTGAAAACAGGGACCAATCTGCGCGATGCCAAGAAAAATATGATGACAAACATACGACAAATTAGTCAGGTTCCAACCACGAAAAGCTTTTGTTTGTATCTTAAAATTAGCGTGCTTTCATTCATAAAAAAAGCTTTAAAGATCGAACAGAGCATACATTGGGACAGGCTACCTTAGCCTACCCTCCCTGGGGCTTCATGTTCCATTAACTGCATTTACCTTCTGGTAAATGTCTCATTAAAAGCCATCTGTGCATGATTTTAAAAAAAGCCATCGTTTATGATTTTTTCAAAAAACTGTTATCATTAAGTAGTTTGGAAATGAATAAACTGACGATGAATGACGAGATTTTGAATTTTAGACCAGACGCCACATTCCATGAGTTTAGAAAAAGACACGTCATCAATGTTCACTGAACTGGGAATGGACCCGAATGACGCAGGTGTTTTGTAGGAATAAACTTCCTTCGTGGAAACAATCATATCGCTGGGCCGAAAAGTCCCAAGTACATGTTTAATGAACAACTTGCCATTTCATTGACTTATTCTAGTTTTGGCTTTAAACTAGGGGTTTTTCCTACTCATAATTCCGAATAGATTGGCATCTCTGCGGTGGCAGTCACCTGAGTTTGACTTTTGGGAGCCAATTGCATAAATCTCAACGTGAGACACACCAGCTAATCCTTATTTCAAACAGTACCAGGAGCCTATGAAATGGAGCCTCCATCTCCATTAATTTCTTGAGTCAACCCTTTCCCGAGTAGATTTATAAATAGAACGGCTTGTTTCCCGCGAAAAGTGTCATATTTCCGTGAGTCTCTTATGTCACCGTGAAAAAAATGAAGTTGGATGAAGTCGAACTCAGAAGCCCGTCCTTCGACCGTTTTCCTTTTTTACTATACGTCCATTTTTACGGTTTTACAGCCGCTGGGATCTGGGATGAAATAAAAGTTAATGAATTACCCGACTGAGACTGAGCATGAAGCGATGGGACAAAGGCAGCGAACTGAGGATCACGGAAAGGTTCTTTGCGAGTGTTTGTTTTTGTTTTATTTTTTGCCGTCATACATCCCACATTTAAGCATGCACCTTGAAAAGAGTCGACGATTAAGCGTTCTGTGGACGATTTGAATATTTTCGATGATCAGCGCCGAAAAAGTGCCAGGATCATTTGATTTTTGTTATCGCCGTGGAGTGGATTTCGCCAGTTAAGCACCGCGTGCAAAAGCGATGACCTAAGTAGCAACTTAGGAGGAATGCTTCAGAAAAATTGCAGTCTTCCTTGACTTGTATCACCATGAGAGTTGCCTGATAAAACTGGCACTTGAAAAGTTGAACAGAAGACAACAGTTGCTCGACCGTGAAGCTAACTCAAAAGTAATTTGCTAAAGCCGAGGAATTTGTGACATCGCGCTCCAGTCCAAAGACCCTCTTATCTCAAGAAAAACAAAATGGATTGTATCTGCGCCCAAAGAATTATGACTGACTAACAGGAGAATTCTCAGCAATTAATGTAGAAGTTTAGGCCAATTCTTTCCTTCGAATTCGCAGCTGTAGATCACTTTTTTGCGAGAAAACAATGGCTGGGCTCGGCGTTACAAAACATAGCAGGGAATCATCACACTAACTGACGGACAAAACAACCACAGTATTTATTCAGACAAACGCATTTCGGAGAAAAACTTGAAAAACTAGAAATTTGATTAATATTGAGTCATTTAGGCGAAATAAGAACCTTAACGCTAAAAAAAATTGGCTAAAACGAATCCTGTCAGAACTACAGACTGCAGGTAGTAGTTAATCATTACGCATGTAACACAGCAGCTTCATGGCCTCTTATAAATGTGAGACAAGCAACCAAAATTAAGATTAACATAGTCAGAGTTTAAAACCCTCCACAGTATAATCTAACCGCTAGAAAGAAAAGAAAGAAAATCTCTGAGGGATGAAAAAGCTAAAGTCACGTTTCACTATCTTATAATTTTGTTTGGCCTGTCAGCACCGGATTTCCTGCTGTTTCATAAAGTACAATAGCAGTGTCATCTAGTCGTTGTGATTGGCTCTTCCCACCGTCGGCGCGCGAAGTCTCCCCTGGGAACCGTTCTAATTATAAATCTACTCGGGAAAGGGTTGACTCCAAGGGCTTGTATGGGAGATGG